GCTCTTGATGATCATATGGCATTTTATGGCCGAATGCACGAGGATTAACACTATTTGTCTCTGATTATTTTGAGTTTTTGAGCCGATGAGCATATAACAAATATGATGCTCCCTTTCTTGATTGTGTGATGTCATAACATGTTGATTTTTCTAGAACTTGTCTTGTTGTTCACGTTTTTGTTTGATTCTTAATGAATATGGATGCATATGATTAGTAACATATTTAGGAATAAACCTATTTGTTGTGGCCTTCTTCTTCGTTGTGTCGAACCCGTATATGACCATTAGGAAGCCCCTTTGAGCCACAAAGCCTTTTCTTTGAATAACAATCACATAACATGCCATGTTACCTTTTGTTGATAGCTTATATGAACCTTTGAATCGAGCAATCTTGTAATTCCTGTCTAATATTGAGCTGAGGTTCTCGTTTTTCTTTGTGCTTAGATGGGTTATGTGTTTTGAGTTTAATCAGGGGCTGTTGTGTTTTGATAGTTTGTGTTCTGGGTGGGTTATTTATTCGAGGAAAGGATGTGTGCTTGAAGTCGTTTGTTTGGGTCGGCGGGCTGTGAATTTTAAGCTGAATTGGGAAATGGTTATATTATTTATGTTTGTACTCCTCTCTTTGGAAAAAAAAAAAAGAAAAACAGAAAAAAACCTGCTCTTTTGAAAAAAAAAAAGAGAAAAAAAAAAGAAAAAAAGAAAACTGAAATGAGGAGGCAGTGATGTTATATCTGTCATTGGAGGTGCAGTTTGTAAATTTTGAGTGGCTAGTTTAATTTTTTTTTTCCCTTGGAATGCTTTTTCCTGGGATATGTGGGTAGTTCATCATCTTATGTGGGTTGTGTGTTCTGCTCCGAGCTCTTTTCAGACCAAATTTATAGATTGCTTTGGTTCATTTGAATTACATTATTATTCTGTTTGCTTGTCAATACCTTTAGCTATTATTACCTAAACCCGACATCACAACTTTGTGACAAACCCTTTGATTCTTGTGAATTTATGTTCACTCTTGAATAGTCGAGCGTGATTCAATGTCAAGCTTATGGTAAAGATTTTCTATGTTTTGACTTGAGCGTTTACTTATATTTATCTTTAGCCTATGCACTTTGGAGAGTTTGAGCGTACCGACAGTATAATACTTTGCGGGGGTAAATTCTACCGGACTTGAGTATACTTTGCGGGGGTAAATTCTACGGGACTTGGTTCACATGTGTTGTCCACCTGGAACGTAGTGAGACCATCTACAATCTCAACTAAGGCTTCCAGCAAATAGAAAATTTCAGGACCACCATCCTCCTTCCTCTGATAGTGAAAACAACGCAATTTTCTTGAAATAAAACTTCAAAAATTGTGCACCTCCATTTCTTCATTTACCTTCAGACCCAACCCTGCTGAAAAACGAATAACACAAAGTTTGATAGAAGTTTTCCTTTTGCAGTAAGTGTGGAAGCACTAGCTTAAGGCTTAGACAGGGGTGGGATTCCAAAGGAGCTTACATGGGTCGATCAATATATGAATGGACATAAGTTTTTTGAAGATTCTTGCAGACATAAAACAATACTCTCCCTCTGTAAGCCGAGTTTCAGACCAATGACGCAACCACATTTTAACAATTAGTTTGAGCGAGCTATAGACTGCACTTTCTCCATGAATGAACAAAACACTTGGGTATGCCGCAATACAAACCATTACGTCATCTACACTCAAACCATTATCCTCAATTACATCCAAGAAGTCTGCAACATCACCGTACTTTACATCTTTTTTTGTCGGATTTGGTGTCGAGTTCACAACACGCAATCCATGACATCCAACAAATTCTACAAGATGTTCATCATACTCCATATGACCTGTCATATCTGTTTCCTATAGTAATTATGCTTTCACTTAGCGGTCGCAAAGATTTGCAACACAAATTCCAAATCAGGTAGGGTGGAGGAGGGGGGAGAACCCTGAAATTTGAATCATACTTTTAATTTTATATGCGCATATACTATGCAGCTGTCCACTATCAAGACAACAATCGAACAAGTTTATGGTTTAACTACTAAGATTTTACTAATAGAACCAGTAAAATTTGCAATAGAAAACAAAAAAAAATCTAAAAAAGCAAAGTCATTTTAGTGACAAGAAACTC